GTAGGCTTTTTTGTATATACAACAATAAGGGTTTTCGAATGCATGAGTTCTGTTAACTACAAAGAATTACATTATGAAATTTGGGCATTCAAAATCGTTTCTATGTAAGAGTTTCATAAAAGTATAAAAATTGGTGTGTGGTAGATAGACAAGCATTGTGTTTTTAGTTCTCTTTAGTAAAGCATTATATTTTAAGAAGTATAGAATATTAAACTGCCATAGTATTTACTCTAGATCTACCTTTAGATCGCTAGCTACACATTTAATCTGTTAGTATGTTGTAATCACTTCTACAAATCTACCTTCTACAACAGGTCAATAAGCCCAATGGCATAATTAATTAGGTGAGATTATATGACCTGACAGAGAAGAGTCTGGGGTCTAGAAATAGATATTCTATGGTAGAATTCTGCTTCATTCATTTGCCAGCTGTAAGAATTGAAGACATTTCCCCCGTTAATCTCTCGTGAGTTTTCCTTTCTTCATAGATCCAATAATAGCATCTTCCCCATAGTGCTGTTTGACACTTAGATGAAGTAGAAGATTTATAAATAAAGAGATTACAATGTTTCCCCCACAGAAAACCCAGAGTTATTATCTAATAAGTGTTTCTCTCCATGAGTTAGCCCCCTTTTCCCAGTTCAGCTGTGCTGCACATTCCTTTATGGTGGTGACTCTGCTTCCAGCATTTCCCCTATATGTTCTGCCCTGAAGAGAAGCCTGGTAAAACCGTCAGAGCCAACTCTGGATTATACTGTATTTTACATAAATTTCAATGAAAGTATATAAAATACAAGAGAATAAAAGTTTTCCATTAACTCTTACTTAAGAAATGATAACAGAGGAAGTTGTTTTTATGGCTATATTCCCTTCCATTTCTTCCATGTTAGTATCATGACAAAGGCTTCAGAAATATGTCTTTAATGCACGAATATCTATTACAAACATCTATAAAATAACTGCTTAGAAGTCTGCTACTCATTATTATTTATTATAGATTTCTCTCAAACATACTTAAGCTTTATGATTTTTTTTTCTTTAAAAGTACAACAAGCAGGGTGGTGAATCTTCAAATAATGTTCACCTGTTATAAATGATATTTCTATTGAGTCATTTTAAATTTACACCGATTTTCTTCCCATTAATTTCCCCCTAGATGTGTTTATTGGAAACATAAGTTGAAGCTTGTTGAGATTCCCTGCTAAACACATTGTGTTCTTCTTGGCATGGTTCTGCATGTTTGCCTTAGATTTACTGTAAACAAATGATGTCTCTGCTCAAGCCATTTCCTAGATGATGTGCAACCTCTTTTGTGTTGCCATCCCCAAATACCCAAGACTAAATATACATGGCACATGGATCAATATACACAAATACATAAAAGTGTTTCCTTACAGTTTTGGAGGCAAGGATCAAGGTTCCCATCTCTGACTTTTGAAGAAGCCCCCATCCCATAAGTACAATAAGGCATCCTCACCTCATTTTGTTTTTAGTAGGTTTTTGGTTTTGTTTTCCATCGCCAACTTTAATAAATTCATAAAAAGGAAATGTGTGATCTCAGTTATTTTGATTTATAATATAACTTTCTAAGTTTCAAAATTAGAAATAGTGATTTCTAAACCTCCATAATGATTGTCTTAGTGTGTTCTATTCCTGTGAAGAGACACTATTACCATGGTAAATCTTACAAAGGAAAATATTTAATTGGGTCTGGCTTACAGGTTCAGAGGTTCTGTCCATTGTCATCACCATGAGAAGCATGATAACATAATGTTGGAGAAAGAGCTGAGAGTTCTACATCTTGATGTGCAGGCAGCAGAAGGAGACACTGTATGCCATGCTGGGCATAACATGAGCATATATGACCTCAACACCTCCTTCAACAAAGCCATACCTATACCAACAAGGCCATACCTCCTAAAATGCCATTCCCTATGGGCCAAGCACTCAAACACATGAGTCTATGGGGGGCCATACCTATTCAAACCTATACAATGATCAATACAGCACTCTTGTTTTTAATGTTATAAAATTTAGAATTTAATCTTTAATTAAAATTAAATTTAAGAAATTTAAATAGTTGGTCTATTTCAAGTCAAGAGAGTTATTATTATATACACTCAAAGTACCTGGCTTTCACGAGGAAGACCTTTCTTACTAGCTTTTGAAAAGTGTATGGCAGCATAAGCAACTTGTAAATTATTCTTGCCACCTGTAGTGAAATAGTTCATTTACTTTTGAATTTCTGACATGGACCCAGAGTGGGAAATACCCTTTAGAAACTTTAAGGATTTTGATACAAGGGATTTGTATAAAATTGAATACAGTATATCAAGTGCATTTGATACAATGACAACCTGACTACCAAGGGTGGTCATTGTTCCCAAGCAGGTCACCACACTGCGATGAGTGTGCCTGTCTCTTAGAGCTAGACTGTAACATGAGATTACCCTGATTTCTTTCTCAGCCCATTTATTGTCTGTATAAAGGATGGCTACTGATTTTTTGAGTTACTCTTGTGTCCTGTCACATTATCAGCTGCAGGAGTTCCCTGTTAGAATTTTTGGGGTTACTTAATTATACTATCTTATCATCTGGAAATAGTGAAAGTTTGACTTCTTCCCTTCCAGTTTTTATCCCCCTGGCCTCCTTTTGTTGTCTTAATGTTCTAGCTAGAACTTTGAATACTAATTGAAGAGATACGGAGAGAGTGGACAGCCTTGTTTTGTTCCTGATTTTAGTGGGATCACTTTGAGTTTGTCTCCAGTTAATTTTATGTTGGCTATTGGATTACTGTATATTGCCTTTATTATGTTTAAGTATGTTCTTTGTATCCTTGATCTCTCCCAAACCTTTATCATGAAGGGGTATTGGATATTGTTGAGGGCCTTTTTAACATCTATGTGGTTGTTTTTCTCTGAGTTTGTTTTTTATATGGTGGATTACATTGGCAGGTTTCCATATGTTGAACCATCCCTGCATCTCTGGGATGAAGCCTATTTGATCATGATGGATGTCTATTTGGAAGTGTTGTTGGATTTGGTTTGTCAGTATTTTATTAAGTATTTTTGTTTCTAACTCAAGACTTAAGATGTAAATATTTTTATTTTAGCTTTAATCCTATATTCATATCTTTTTTGCTCTTTTTATCAGTTTTCAATACTTTAAGTGCTAGAGTTCAAGTACCACATAGTTATTTAACTTACTAACAAATGGTCTTGGAGTGATCTTATAGTGATATCATCAACCCTACCATCTGGGTATGAGTACTATACACAGCTTTATTTCATCTGTGATTCTTCTGTATCAGCTATATTCACTGGGGTAACAAACTGCTGCCTTTCGAAGTTCTGTGATGTTTGTGTTTATAACACCGAATGAATTCACATTTAGACTGGCATTTCTGAGATACCTGTAAACCTAATTAGTTTTATAATTACATAGACATATACATATGGTTCCAAAAATAATACATTTGTTGCTAACAGAGTCTGACTTCTCTTCCACCCTGTCCTTAATTGCTTCACTGTCTCTCTCTTATATCATCAATTTTTAATATCATGATTTTTTCCATTTAAATATAGCATGTATTCCTTTTAAGTGTACCAAATTTCTAAGTTTGACTTTATTTATCTAAAGATAGCTCCATTGACAGTTAATTATATGTGTTGTAAACATATATGTATGTGTAGATACATTTCCCACTTAATTAAGCCAAATAAATTACTATAGATTTTAGATGATTATTTATCGTAACAGTGGTATTCTTGCATTATTGACTGGAGGATATGTATACTCAATGGCAGAGTACTGATCAAGAATAAGACCGTAGGACCCATTCCTAGTGCAGTTACAAAGAAGTTAAACATGGTTTGGTATAGATCTACAGCTTGATCAAGCCAAGTTTGTTAGAGGTTTTGCGAAAAATCTTTATTAATGCCACATGTGTCCAAAAATGAGCAATAGGATCTTAATGCAACTGAATCTGTGTTTGTGTTTTTAAGTCCAGAGGGAGCTATATATAGATATGACTAAAACACTGTATTTTCCTTCTATGTGCTCTGTAAAATCTCACAGCTCATTTCCACTCATTGCTGTGGATTTTTCCTATAAATAAATCTCCATAGTAGTAAGCATAATTGCTCACCATGACTGAAATCAGTAATTATAAATCTCTTTGTAGTGGGACTATTCAATCTCTCAAATTCCCAAGTCTTCATTATAAGTATAAATTATTGACAGGGTCAATGATGGTTACTGACATACTTAACCATTAATGTGATGTGATTTGACTTTCACATCTGACTACTCTGACCCGGCATTGCTTTACTTTTGGAACAAGAATATTTTAACATACATGGAAAGATGATACAAGTAAAGTTAGAAAATTTGGAGGAACAAATATACTACAAAGTACAAAATGTCTGCATTTTAAAAACATGCACCTTAAAAAACAAATCCATTTAAATTTTCAATGGTTGGCATAATTATCAGAACACTTATCTTTAAAAAAAAAACAAGCAACATTAACAACAACAACAAAAAAATGCCCCTACTGCAGGAGAACATGTTTAAAATAGTTCCTAGGCATCTTGATATTTGCTTTAAATGGCTAGTCTTTATTTATTATAAGATATATTGAAAAACCATGTAGGATATAATTAAGATTTATGTGCCATTAAAATATAATTTTATAATCCAAAATTTGGTTTTCCTCCCCTTAATGTCTATTTTCATATGATGAGTTTCCAAATTAATTAAAGAGCTCTCTTAAAATTTTTCAGAAAACCATCCAAACAAATATCTTCCCTTTCTCTAACTCATAAGCTAATTAATTATATATCACATTTGCATCTGCTCTCCCTAGACTGGATAATTTAGAAACTTAATTTACTAATGAAATTGTAACTGCGTTGCTCGGTTACTGAAGGAAAAGAGATGAATCAGACTGGTGCTTTGCTGTTTGTTCTCAGCTCTGAATGCTGTCTCTTGTCTCCCAGGTACCCCTGAGGATTATCCCCACTTCTTCCATATGCATCCCAGAACGGCCCAGCTCACTCTTCTGGAGCCAGTCAACAGAGACTTCCACCAGAAATTCGATTTGGTTATTAAGGTAAATTAAACTAAAACCTTATTTCCTTGTAGTTATGAAGGGCTAACCAAAGGAACATATGGAGGAGGCTACTGTAGACCTCATTTTAAAAAATGAGAATGAATGTGAACCACTATTATTAGCATTTCTGGCATTTGGGATAGGATGGGTATTCTGGCACTCGGGAGTCACAGGATACTTAGTGTTACACAGCTCGGGTTGTAGTAAGCTTAGCAGCTTACAGCCTTGCATCAGGGAAAGGCTTCCCCAGTGTATTGGCTCTGATACAGTGGTATAGGGTCTTCCAGCTCCGGATGTTTACCCAGTGTAGCAGTTTTGCTCTGCAGGAGGTCTCTCTGGTGAAGTTGCTACAGTTCAGCTCTGCTCTGGGAGAGCAGAGTGTAACAACTCCGCTCTGCCAAAGGAAGGTTTCCCCAGCAAGTGTTACAGCCCTGATCACTCTGCTCTGCCCAGGGTCACCTCTGCTCTGCCGCTGCTGCAAAAGAAGATCTTTACCCAAAGCTCATCCAAGGGGTTTATTGGGAGGGAAGAATCCAGGAGAGGGCAGCCAGGTAACACGCACAGCCACAAGATGAACAGACACAGGGTTTATATAGGGCTTCCAGGGTGGGGATTGATCAGATTTTAGTGCTGAGCTCAGATTGGCTAGAGCTCTATTCGAGGATTGGTTAGTTTTCTGCACAGGCTTAGGGTCAAATTTGGCCCTGGTTTCAGGGCCAAAGTGTGTTTCTTTCTCTGGTCCTTTTTAGTCTTTTGGCTCCAACTTTAGGGCCAGAGTGCATTTCTTTCACTGACTCTGATTCCAGGGACAAAGTATGTTCTTTTGGCACTGATTTCAAAGTCAGGGTACATTTCTTTAGTTCTGGTTGCAGGGCCAAAGTGTATTTCTTTGGCTCTGCTCAGGGTGTGTTTCGTTGGCTGGTCCCTTTTCCCTACAACTATAACTATTTTTTGTCTATAAACATTGGACTTTTTCTCATGTGTATAGTAAGATTTAATATATTTATGTCATGAATGCATTGATCAGAGGGAAATAGTTTAAATACCAAATTGCATTTTATCTTTTAACTTTTTTAGAAAATATCTTTTGGACATGAACAATAAACAATGGCAACATTAGAATGTGCTTCATTTACTTTAATATATTATTTGTGTTGCTGCTTTTTCTAGCATAGATTGAAAGTACTCTCACCCTGACATTTTTTAAATGTCTACCTTACAATTTTCTCAATGTTGGAAGATAAATCTAGAACTGGAAGAAAATTTAATGCTATGGTGATCTATTTGACATTAAGATAGTATCATTTTTAAATGGAAAATTAAATAATTATTAATCAATAATAATATAGATTATGTCATAAGGAATCCACAGAGGAAGTACTGCTGAAACTAGTTCATCCTGATGGCCTTCACCAGAAAATTGAGATTTAACATTTCAGTTTGACACTAAAGGAAGAGTGGAAATGAATACTCAATGGAGAGAACTGTGAGTAACAGACAGGAAAGCCATCAACCCTGAAAAAATATAATACATATTGCATGATATTACACACACACACACACACACACACGCACACACACACACACGTGTGTGCCCACAGCTTTATTAAAATAATTAAAAGTATTAGTGCTGTGGCATTAGCTCTGTGGTAGACATTTGCCAGGCAGGCATGAGGCCCTGGTTTCAATCCCCAGAACCACATAAATAAATTACCTAATTAAATGAAGAATTGAAATAAAAAGGAAATGAAGAGAAAGGGCTTGCTGAGTAGGTGCTCTGGGAATGTTGATTTGTATGCTTCTTTCTTGGCTGGTTGCCACCACTTGGTTTGTGTCTTATTTGCACCACTGTATGTGGAATATCAAGTTCAGTGTCAGTGTCACAGTATCCATAGTTATGAGACACATGACTACTACTGGGAAGAGGTGACACTCGATTTGGTTTTATTTCATGCACGTGTAGGTCCTTTTCACTGCACACACTATGTAGTTGCTTAGGTATGTTTATCTGGATTAACTGCAGATAAGTCCAACATCAAATACTATTATGCAAAATACATTTCATTTTAGTTCATAGTATGTGATAGCTTCTTTTTTATATTTTATTTTTCTATTTTTAAATTTAAATTTAAATTAGAAACAAGGTTGCTTCACATGTCAATTCCAGGTCCCTCTCTCTATCCCTCCCCTCCTCCTGTGCCCTCCCACCAACCCCTCCAATATCCCCTCATTTCCCCAGGGAGGGTGAGGCCCTTCATGGGGGTGTCCATAGTCTGTCATTTCATGTGATAGCTTCTTACATCACATTATAATATGCATAACTAATCAGGTGTTTATTTAGTCATGTTTTGTCTTTGGAGAATTAGTAGTGTAGAAGTTCACTCCAGATTTAATCTGCTGGCAGAGAGCAGATAAAACAAGACTAACAACCAACCAAAAGAGAGTATTTCAATTATCGGAAGTTTCAAAGATTTTACAAAGATTACCCCAAGCTTAAAGTTGCTGAGTCAAGAGAATTTGACCAATAAATGAAAGTAAAAAATGTCTTTTTAACAGAAAGGCTTAGAAGCATAATGTAGCTCACTACAAGCAGTCAACAGAAAAACAAACAAAAAAAGAGGGAAAGCAACTTCTGGATGGATATAGTCCCCCTTGACTGTCCCCTGAATATACAAACTGGTCATACATGAGGTTCTCAGCTTGCACTGACTTGTCATTTTCTTGGGAACCCCATAGAAGTCAAGCAATATACATCTAATGCCTATGTCCATCTGCCTGAGTCCCCTGATGCCTATCCTTGTCTAAGTATTGTTTCCAAACTGCTTCATTTTGAACATGAAATCAGTTTCCTTTGCTAACTCACATAGTGTTAACAGCTCATCAATCACAGAAAAGAAAATCAATTAGAAATGTGAACAAATAATTGTTTATATTTTAATAGCACTTTATACTACTAATGAATGTTTTGGCAGACATCACAAGATCCAAATTGCCAGGACCGAAATGTGTCATGATAGGACCATGAGAGAAAGTATCAGCTGAGAGAATAACAATGCAACACATACTGAGAAATTGCTGAATATCCTGCAATTCATTGAAATGCCATAACCCCGCAATTCTCTTCAAGAGTAAATATTTCATTATCTATACCTTTTCCCACATTAGTATTTGGTTTTTTCATTAGCTACGAAAGTTTTTCGGTGTTGTTGTTGGATGTGATCCAAATTTCTGTTTTGGAAGCTGCCTCAAATAAAATATGAGTGTCTCTCTCTGGACCAAGGAAGAAGTCTGCCTTTAAAAGCCACATGGCACACTAACAGCTGGTTTGTGTCACGAACCAGAGATTTCTCATCTTTATTTCTTGCTATTTCTGCCAGTGATTTATTCTGCCTGCTGACAAATAAAAATATAAAGGTGAAACGTGCAAGACGAAGTTGGATAATTAAAAACATGAGCCTAGTAAACAACCCAAGCACACCGGCCTGGAAAACAAAGGGTTACTCCCTTAAAAAAAACACATCCCCAGCCTTTGGTTAGTTGCTCTCATCTGAGGATACTGAGAAAAGGAATCAGTCACCTGCTTTGTGACAGAATAACGCCACCTATAGACCGTGGACCCTGAATAGTTGTCCATAACATACATGCACAGTTAACAACATCCCAGTTTGGATTATGAAATATCTGATCCTTCCATATGATCCTCCCAAAAGCAACCACAGATTTCCTGTGAGGCAGAAATACAAAAACATATTTCAGATGTCAGATAAGTTATTTTATTGCATGTGCTGAGTGCCTTATACAAATCTCAGAAAACTCACTTTCACTATTGTAACATGTTTAAACATGTATTTATATACTAGACATCTAATACAAAGCAACACCTTTAATTATTAAAACAGATCAAATGAATAAATTGTTAATAATTCATTGTCCCCTGGTTCCTCTAAGAATAATTCATTTCATCTAGATCCTTTTGATTAAAAGCTGTTATTAAACTCTGATTAAGCAAGGCCACAGTGAAACCGCTAACACAGCATTATGGTGAGTGGCTTCCTGCTGCCACTCAGTAGCTTGCTCATGTGTCCGGCAACCACATCCTATTTGCTTTTCTCCTGAACCACAGGCATACTACAGTGTCATGTAATATATTGCTATCCTAAGCATTAGCAACCACCTTGTAGGATCTGAGTCCCAGGTGGAGAGAATCACAGAGGCCTAAATCCATCATGCTACTCTGGTGTCCTTCCCTTTTTCAGGCCAGAGGTCTAAGTCACAATATAGAACAACTGTGTGTGCGTATGGAAGAAACCTCCTTACAGCCTGTTTGCCTATGCTATGATGAGATTCCTCCATGGTAAATGGATCTCTTTAATCTCTTCATCTTTACAGATACTGGATGGTAATATTTTCCTTTTAAGTGTTTTTAAGTTGCACTTTTACAATTTTAAAGTATGTATATGTGTGGAGGGTGTGTGTGTACATGTGAGTCCAGGTGCCTCATGAGGCCAGAAATGTCTGATTCCCATGCAGCAGGAGTTACAGGTGGGGATAAGCCACCTGATGCCAGTACTGGCAATCGAGCTCAGGTCCTCATCCTCTGTTCATGGCCATTGAGACATCTCTCCATCCCTGCTAAAATGTAATTCATATTGTGCTCCCTGCTTAGCATTACCTTAGTAAAAGTCAATGTATGTTGATACGTTGTTTGAGCTTTTAATGACTGTCACTAGCAGCCATATTCCTTCTGAAGAAACTGTGAGTATTTGAAATAGGTGATGAGACAGAAATTTAAATTAATGATATGTTAGTTCCCACATGCCACCAGTCCCAGTCAAATGTTTACCTTGAGCACTATGAGAGTTTTACATGAGAAGTGGTTATTTTTAAGCCCACAGCCACTTTAACTCCTGGACATCTGTGTACCACTAATGATTCATCTCTAGATTCAGTATTTTTCATATATATAGTGTAGTGTTTGTTAGTTTTTAGGTCTCAGTAAC